GTGTGTGTGTGCGTGAGTGTGCGTGCGTTCATGTGTGTGTGCGTGTGCGCGTGTGTGCATGCGTGTGCATGCATGAGTGCGTGCGCGTGTGTGAGTGTGTGCGCGTGTGTGTGCATGCATGAGTGTGCGCGCGCGTGAGTGTGTGTGTGCGTGTGTGCACGCGTGTGTGTGCGTGTGTGTGTGTGTGTGTGTGTCTGCGAGGACAGGAGTCGTGGGTTGGCGCCCGCCCTGGTGACCTCACTGGGACTCGATCGCTCTCTAAGGACTGTCCCCAGATGAGTGCGTGCTGGGCCAGGGGTGAGACCTGTAATCGTCTCCATTGGACTGTTGGGTGGGTTGGACGTGTGAGTACGGAATTAATTCATCTAAGACATAAAGAAAGCCGTCTTTCTGTGAGTTTGCAAAGACTTTCATGCTTGTTAGAATGTTAAGTCTTCATTCGAGTTGGAGGAGGGAACATAGACGTCCGTGCCTCTGCTGGGGGCTCGAGGGCCCAGGGCCAGAGCCCCGCTCGCCCCGCCCGAGGAGGACCCTCAAGCGTCCGCGTTCTGTCCGACTCAGTGTCCACACGCCACGCGCTCTGGCCCCTCCTGGGCAGTTCAGGGCCTTCCTTTGTCCCGGAAAAGTCGACCGCCGGTCTCCACAGGCTCAGGAGACACGTACCTGTTAGGATGGAACCTCCTAAACACCTGCTGGGAACGGCAGGTGGATACCAGGCATGACCTTCTCTTCCCCCCTCGGGTTGAATGGGCTCCGTGGTTCCGAGACGCTCACCGCAGAAACGTTGTGCACAGTTAGCCACCAACAAGGGCTCCAGCTCAGCACCGTCCTGGAGCGAGCCCTGGGGTCGCACGGTGCACAGACTGAGCAGCTGCGGGCGAGCCTGTGTTCATTTCCCCAAAATTTGACATCAGCTTTCCAGTGGGTTAACCAGCAGAGGCGGAGGGGGTGGGGGTGTTCGTGTCGTGTCATCTCCCGGGATAATGGCTGGAAGTCCTGTAAGGCGACCTCGCTCTGCCCTGTGTGACGTGGCCTCAGTGAGGGATTCGTCTGAGGGGTGGACTGCGTGGTGCCGCTTCCTGCGTGCCCGATCTCTGTTGGTTCTGTTGGTTCTGTTGGTTCTGTTACTCCTCCCCTGCGGGTGTCCCTCGGAGAGGGAGGGAAGAGAAAGGGAACATCGATGAGAGACACCGATCGGCTGCCTCCTGGATACGCCTGGCCGAGGCCAGGGATCCAACCTGCAACCCCAGCGCTGGGCTGGGAATCGAACCGCAGCCCTCGACGTGCCGGCTGACGGTCTCACCGCGGGCAGCGCACTTCCTCACGTTCCTGACGGATGTTTAGACGAGCAGCGCCGGGCGAGCCCGAGTGTCCCTAACGCACCTCGTCTCCTCTCCTCGCAGGGACCTGCGCTTCAACCGAATCCGAGAGATCCCGCCCGGAGCCTTCAGGAAGCTGAGAAACCTGAACACCTTGTAAGTCCCAGCGCCCACGTGGCCAGAGGGAAACGGCACACATCCGGGTCCTCGCACACCAGGGTCCTTGCACACCGGGATCCTCTTACCCCTGGGGTCCTCGCACACCTGCATCCTCACACACCCGGGGTCCCCACACACCCTCAGTCCTCGCACACCCGGGGTGTCCCCACACACCCTCAGTCCTCGCACACCCGGGGTCCCCACACACCCTCAGTCCCCACACACCCGGGGTCCTCGCACACCCGGGATCCTCTTACCCCTGGGGTCCTCGCACACCTGCATCCTCACACACCCGGGGTCCCCACACACCCTCAGTCCTCGCACACCCGGGGTCCCCACACACCCTCAGTCC